TTAGTCCTTCAGTTGGTTTAGGGCTTAGGGTTTAGGGTTTAGGGTTTAGTCCTTCAGTTGGGGAGCTCGCGTATTGTTGTTCTTCCTTTGCTTCGGATTTTTGGGCCTAGAGTAAACCCCGAAAAGTTGGAGACAAGATTCAGGTTACTTAGTGCTGGGATTCCTTATGCACAACTCTTAAGGATTGAGGCTATTGGGTTTGCATCTTTGGGGCTTCTGGTTCAAGGGCCATTTAGGGGTTTAGGGTTTACCGTAGGTCTGGAATCCGCCGTAGTCATCAGAGAAGGGTTCCTGTATTTGTCCATAAGGGTTTCATTAGAAGGGATTCCGTAGGGGGTTGGGGGGTTCTATAAGATAGGGGCCCTCATAATTAGAATAGGATTTTGGGGTAAACTCTCGTATAACTACAATAGGAACCCGAAGGAATCATATTGGTAGTTATTCAGGATATTACATGATGGTACCTTTTTGGGGTTCAGGCCTCAGCCTATGACAAACGACAACCCTTCAGGCCGTGAATGACAATGCAGCTCATGGTGTTCCGGTTTAGGTTTAATGCAGGGGCCTTAATTATTAGAATAGGGTTTTGGGGGCTCCTCACTATAACTATGGTATACTACACCCCCAACCCAATTCCAATTAATAAGGCCCCCCATATTAGGGCTTAGGATCAACATGCACATGCCGACGACTCTGCACGCGTTTGTGTGTGTGTGTGTCCCGCATGGATTTATGCAAGTCGTTCGCCTAGGTGCTCATGGAGTATCCCGGCCCTACACGCAGGGTGCTGCAGGCAACGGCGGCTGCAGGTGATCAGAGGGCATCTACCCAGCCAAGAGAAAACAGCCAAGTAAACTGCATTTGTCGTTGTTGCTATGAAGTTCAATATTTTGAGAGCATCCGTTGTTGTTGCAGCTCCAGGGTGCTGTCAGTGTTGATGCCAAGTGTGGACATGCATGATGCCGTCCAGGATGGGACAGAGGTCCTTGACACTGAACTCTTCGAGCATGCAGACCTGATAGTGGAGCAACCGGTATCTGTGCGTGAGTCGGTTGGGCTCTGAAAACAGTTCTGGCTGCTTGGGTTCGCCATAACCGGTCGAGAATATTTCGTTGCGGGCTGTCCGTGCACTGGAGTATCCAGAGATTTTGAGTGCATGTTTTAATTATCGCATCCAGTCTTCAGCACAGGGACGGCGAAGATTAAGTTGGCGTTCTCCTTTCAGCTACTCAGTGTCGTTCTAGGCTTCTTGTGACCAGGAGGCAACAGGGACCCGACATTCCAGCAATCCTCGAGAGCCTGTCAACCCGTTCGCTTCCCAAATCTTTGTTCGGTAGCCCGCTCCTTTTCTGACGTGCTAAATGCCGGACCCTTCAAGGAACTCCAAACCCCAGAGCCTGAAATTTTTGCAAGCCTTAAACCCTAGACCCCCTACACCGTAAACCCCTTTCACTACGGTTGATGATATCAATCCTGCAATACCTCAAAGGCCCACTACGGAAATTATGGTATACCTATAGTCTCCATTGTAGTTCCTGTCTTTGGTTTAACCAATTATATATTAAGGATTTTATAAGGTATCCCCAAAAAGGAACTACAATGGAGACTATAGGTATTCCTTANNGGATTTATATCATCAACAGTATGGCCAAGTCCAGCGCTCCTGAGGCTAATTGCAAAATCCCGGGTTCCGAGACTCTGCATGAGGAAACTGCTCTTTCGTAAGACCGACGACGCAGGATTTCATTAGGGTGTAGCGGGGGCGGAGTTTGTCTAGTGCTTCAGAGCTTGAGGGCTTCTGCTTAAGGCACATTACCTGAACCCTATAAGAAACTGACCTTTGTCGGGGTTCTTTGTTATAATTTCTTTAAGCAAGTCGACTCTCCGATAGCCTGCGCCAAGCCTCAGAAGTGACCCAGCAAAGGGTACTCCAAAGCCCTTTAGGTCGACATCGACGTCGTGGACCCCAAGGGTCAGCGTTTCGAAGTTAAGGCGCGTCGTTTCGGCTTTCTGGGTTTGGCCGGGCGGGGGGGGAGGGGGGGGGGGCGGGCACAGTGGAGGGGTTGGGGCTCGGAATCCCTAAGCCTACTTAAACCCCAAAGAACCTACCTTTTATAGGGACATCTCATAAAGCCTACCTTTCATGGGGACATCTATAGGGAAATCCTATTCAGCATCCCTCAAGAAGGTCGGTTCCTGAGGGCCCAGGTACGCCGCAAAACCCAAAAAGCCAGGCTTTTGCGGCTCGAGGTTGGGAGCCGAAAGATTGGGACGGGGCTTTTGGTGAGGGTTTTCAGGGTCTGAGATGGGGGGCCTTAATAATTAGAATA